CAAATATCAAGACCATTAGCGGACTCTTTTCCATGATCTAAAGCAACGTCCAAGTGAAACTGAAGTTTTCAGTATAACAGAGTTCATGGTAAACGCTGCAAAATCTGAGACTGCGTGTACAATAATAACAGTAAATGAGTACCAACCAATTCTGATATGCTGACTAGCGAAATAGAACCTCAATCATACTTAGCTCGTTAAGAATAGTTCGATGAGTGTTGAGAAATCCAGCACGACAACTGCAACCCTTGCATACAAAAAATCATGAATCTTTCTGAAAAGTTTCTCCATAGCTTACCTTGTTTGTGCTATGAGCTCACATTTCTTTATCATACCTCATATGACCATTTATGATCTCTGATATTACCGCAATAATCTTCAAAAAAAGGTGGAAGTAGTGAAAGAGTTGCATCTCAAGGACGCAAATAATGTCAAACCACTCATTCTCGTCCACAAATGCTCACAAGAGAGTAAGACTTCAGATGCTCACACTCGCCACTAGTCCATGCCCTGCTCATCTAATGAAATCAGCATCGCAACAATAGAGCGTGCAAAAGCAGGCAACATGGGCCACATCACTTTTTCTAGCGGATCGGGAGATATTGAAAAAAAACGTATTAAATATTTAAACTCCCGATTTTAGGAGTTTTTAATTAAAAAAATACAAAAATTTTCATTTCTCTTTTTCTAGCCGTTAGAATTTCTCAAGAAACGTCTCAAAACGTTCGCCTCGACGAGAGGTCGAACTTTGCTCCCGGTGCGCCTCGCGTAAAAACGCGCGGATCGGGAGATATTGAAAAAAAACGAATTAAATATTTAAACTCCCGATTTTAGGGGTTTTTAATTAAAAAATACAAAAAATTTCATTTATCTTTTTCTAGTCGTTAGAATTTCTCAAGAAACGTCTCAAAACGTTCGCCTCGACGAGAGGTCGAACTTTGCTCCCAGTGCGCCTCGCGTAAAAACGCGCGGATTGGGAGATATTTCAAAAAAAACTATTTCAAAAATATCAAAAATTAAAGCTAATCAAGAAAACAGACTAATTAGTGTTTGCACTAATCAGCCCGCGCACCCCCGTTGGTTGGGGAAGGCCGCGACCTTGGGGGTGCTACTCCCCTCCCCGGCAACGGCGCCACTGTTGGGAGAGAACCCGGGGAGGGGCTACCTACCGTTCGCTGAAGCCATGGGCTACGGCGCCTGTCACTTCGCCGCGCCCGCTTCCGAGGTCCTCGGCGACCAGTAGGGATGATATCCACAAGTTTACAGAAATTGGTTTTAGGAAATAAACAGCAATAGTAAATAAATAAAAGAATAGCAAAGTCAAAACTAGAATTCTCTCTCAATCTGTCTCTCACTGTGTGTGTGTGTGTGTGTGTGTGTGTGTGTGTGCGTGCGTGTCTGCTTGTATGTGTGTTATGTGTGGGCGCACTTCTACCACTGCGCTGCCTTGCTTCAGAGTTCGGAACTTCCAACTTCCTCAAAAGACCGCTGTATCACTGTCCCCTTCTCCTTGCGTGAACCTGCTCTCTCTCTGTCTCTCTCTCTCTCTCTCTCTGTCTGGCTCAGTCCCTGTCCCCCTCTCTCTGCGTGAGTCTGTTCTCTCTCTCTCTCTCTCTCTCTCTCTCTCTC